TTCTCATCATATCAATCTCCATCACTTTAATCTTGCTTTGCTTCTTACTTTTCCTTTACTTTTTACTTTGCATCTTTATACCAAAAATACCAAAAATATTATATCTATCAGATATCACTCTCGTAAGTGACCATGAAGGCATTGACAACCCCTAATCGTGTTGGTTGCGAGTAGCTATCGCTTTGTGCAGGTACGAGGGACTTGAGCGTGGCCTCCTACTGTTGATACCTTGGTTCTCAAAACTGAGGGAAATACTTATGCTACTCTGCTGCATCATCCCTTCCTCTTTGGGGAAAACCAACGCAAACTCAAGACGTAGCACTGCTCGTGATGATGCTATATCTGATCTATCTGGAATGAAAGACAGACTGAAGGGCGTGCTTACACATTATGAAGGTACATTAAAATGTGCAACAGCCTGGGTTTGCCCACCCTTCTTGGAAGATGGCCTCTTCTTGGACAATGTGCCATTGAAGCCGGGTTATCTGAAGTATAACGTGACTGAAGTAAAGCCTGGATTCAGTGAATTTGCCCTGAAGAATGTCCTAGGAGACTTTGATGAGCAAAGGACCTTGGGAGAAACACTGTTACATCACATCGAGTGGCCACGAAAGGAAATAGAGTTCATCAATGAGATCCCTGAAGCCCCGCCAAGAGCAACCATTGCCGCCCCTCAATCGGTGATGCTCTCCTTGCCACAACATCTCTCACGGGCTGATGCATCAACCTATGATCAGCCGGCCTTACTTTGTGGCGTACAGGCCATGTCATCCTCCGCCCCAAAGCAGCAAGTGGCAAGGCTTACAACTGTTGAAGACGCAACACTGGTTCAGATGCCGGCTGCTGAAGCAGCGGGGGGAAGACCCAGTTGCAGCACATGCTCAGCAGACCAACCTGGTGGAACATACTGCTAAGAGTCTGATGCTTCGGAACCACCTGCTAAGTAGTCTATAGGTCCAGAACCAACTGCTCATCAGTCCGTCGGTCTGCAGTCGCGTGAGCAGCATACCAATGTGTCAACACTTCCTGCTCAGCAAACGAATGCGTTGGCACGGCCTCCTCAGCACACCGACAAGTTGGCACCACCTATGCAGAAACCCGACATAGCTTCAACGCATGGTCAGCAGTCCAATGCCTTTGCTCCTACAGCCCAGCAGTCCATCGCAGTAGCACCGCCAGCTCAGCGGTCCGACATAGATAAACCATTTGCTAAGCAGTCCGTCCAAGATTCACCATCTGCTCGGTAGTCTACCTTGCAGACGACCAGACGTTCTGCTAGAAATGCTTCAAGTACCAAGAAGGAAGTGGCCAAAAAGCTACACCCATGACCATGAGGAAGCGCATTGGGAGAGTGAATAGGAAAGAGAACGATTGCCTCTTACTTAAAGCACTCATCACCCAGAACCAAATTAACAACAGCTTGTTCGAATCAGGGGGTAATATTATTTCTAACGCCATCGATAATGAAGAAGTACGTTTGTTGCTTGCCAAAAGTAAAGCATACATACTTGAAGCACGCAATTACGTCCATGGCCAGCCATTTCTTGTGGGCGAATACTTTGATGAGTCCAGCTCCAGTTGCGGCGAGTTACATGAATATTGCATGGATCAAATGTCAGCAGGTCATCATTCTTTGCTAGTCCACTACAATAGAGATCATTTCAGACACGATGCTACACTACAAGAAATATGTCAACTAGTGACCTTCTGTAAGTGACCCTGGAAGAATTAGTCATAGATCTATGACCATTTGAGACCAATTGGTCAAAAGCTGTTCGGGGGGCTCCAAACCCTAAACCATTGCGACCATTTTGGTCAGAAAGGTCGTAATTTCCTTACACGAAATGGTCATAAAGCAAACAATGCTAGTCCGCTGCCTTATTTCTAGTTGTTAACGACCAATATAGATGGTCATAGCCTTGTATATTGTGGTGGGTTGCTATGACTAGGCGCCACCTCATCAGTTTTGCCTATGTGTCATGTCCATGTGGCAGTTTTTGCCCTAGGTTGTGAAGCAACCTATATTTTTTTGAATTTTTTATGCCCGTATCAAAATGCGGTCAAAACGGCGGGAATGGCCATTCCTAGCTAAATGGTTGAATCTTGGATATTTTTGGTTTTTCTCTAATTAAATATATACTTATGTACCTAAAAATGATTTTTGGAAAAAAATAAAGAGCAAACTATGAGGCAGCTGTAGTTCAAATTTGACCCGCTTCCACCTGAATCAGCAGAAGTTTGTCTTTTTCACAAGAGGTGGATCAAATCTTTTGACAACCAACGGTTTGGTCATTTGTGCATTAAATATGGCCTAATATTTTATAAAATTGATTTGGTCCCATTTTGCAACGAATATATGGTAGGTCCTTCACAAAAAACCTCATTTCAGGCTCTCGAAAAATGAAAAATGATTTTTTCGTTCAAAGAAAATGAAAACTTCATAAGGCAACATTGTTTGCCATTCCAAGATGCACCGTTGTGCACGATATGAGATCATTTGAACAAACTATGCCATGAATGTGGCCATAAGATTGATCATTTGGCTTGAATGCCATTGATCTCCACGCATGATAGCTCGTTTCTGAGAACACTTTTTAAAAAAATTATCGTATTACAAGTTTATTATTTTTCCTGGTAACATGGTCACATATAATTACACAATGCGAAGGTTTTTCTTTTTTTGATTTTGTTTGAATTTTTTATGCCTGTTTCAAAATGCGGTTAAAACGGCGGGAATGACCGTTCCTAGCTAATGGTTGAATCGTGGATTTTTTTGGTGTTTCTCTAATTAAATAGATACTTATGTACCTAGAAATGATTTTTGGAAAAAATAAAGATCAAATTATGAGGCAGCTGCAGTTCAAATTTGACCCGCTTCCAACTGAATCGGCGAAAGTTTGTCTTTTTCACCAGAGGTGGATCAAATCTTTTGACAACCAACCGTTTGGTCATTTTTGCATTAAATATGGCCTAATATTTTATAAAATTTATTTGGTCCCATTTTGCAACAAATATATGGTAGGTCCTTCACAAAAAAATCTCATTTCAGGCTCTCAAAAAATGAAAAATGATTTTTTCGTTCAAAGAAAATGAAAACTTCCTTAGGCAACATTGTTTGCCATTCTAAGATGCACCCTTGTGCATGATATGAGATCATTTGAACAAACTATGCCATGAATGTGGCCATAAGATTGATCATTTGGCTTGAATGCTATTAATCTCCATGCATGGTAGCTCGTTTCTGAGAACACCTTTTTAAAAGAATTATCGTATTACAAGTTTATTATTTTTCCTAGTAACTTGGTCACATATAATGACACAATACGAAGGTTTTGCATTTTTTTGATTTTTTTTGAATTTTTTATGCCCGTTTCAAAATGTGGTCAAAATGGCGAGAATGACCGTTCCTAGCTAATGGTTGAATCTTGGATTATTTTTGGTGTTCCTCTAATTAAATAGATACTTCTGTACCTAGAAATGATTTTTGGAAAAAATAAAGAGCAAACTATGAGGCAGCTGCAGTTCAAATTTGACCCGCTTCCACCTGAATCGGCGGAAGTTTGTCTTTTTCACCAGAGGTGGATCAAATCTTTTGAACACCAACCATTTGGTCATTTGTGCATTAATTATGGCCTAATATTTTATAAAATTGATTTGGTCCCATTTTGCAACAAATATGTGGTGGGTCCTTCACAAAAAAACCTCATTTCAGGCTCTCGAAAAATGAAAAATGATTTTTTCGTTCAAAGAAAATGAAAACTTCCTTAGGCAACATTGTTTGCCATTCCAAGATGCACCCTTGTGCACGATATGAGATCATTTGAACAAACTATGCCATGAATGTGGCCATAAGATTGATCATTTGGCTTGAATGCCGGTGATCTCCACGCATGATAGCTCGTTTCTGAGAACATTTTTTTAAAAGAATTATCGTATTACAAGTTTATTATTTTTCCTGCAAACTTGGTCACATATAATGACACAATGCGAAGGTTTTTCATTTTTTTGATTTTTTCTGAATTTTTTATGCCAGTTTCAAAATGCGGTCATAACGGCGGGAACGACCGTTCCTATCTAATGGTTGAATCTTGGATTTTTTTGGTGTTTCTATAATTAAATAGATACTAATGTACCTAGAAATGATTTTTGAAACAAATAAAGAGCAAACTATGAGGCAGCTGCAGTTCAAATTTGACCCGCTTCCTGCTAAAACGGCGGAAGTTTGTCTTTTTCACTAGAGGTGGATCAAATCTTTTGACAATCAACCATTTTGTCAATTTTACATTAAATATGGACTAATATATTATAAAAATGATTTGGTCCCATTTTGCAATAAATATATGGTAGGTCATTTACAAAAAAACTCAATTTAGGCACTCGAAAAATAGAAAATTATTTTTTTGACCAATTTAGATGGTCATAATGTCGTAAATTGGTCCGTGGACTCTCACGCGGATCATGCATTGAACACCGTCGGATGTTCGTCGATCCAATGGCGATCCTCAGCCCTTCCACACCATCCCCGAAACCCTAACTCTGACCTGTGGTCATTTTGCATCCAGCCTCCTGCCTCCTTTCTTTCCCTCGCTCTCTTCTCCTCCTCTCCTCTTCTAGATCTGTCGAGCTCCCCTCGCTCTCCTTGATCCATATCGCCATGCTATGCTCCTCCCTCCCTCCCCTTCGGCAAGATCCCCACGCTCTGCTCCTCCCTCCCTCTCCTCGATCTGCAACCAATCAAACCGCAACCAATCCCCCACCCCACCCTTCCTCCCTCTCACTCGCGCAAGTGCAGGCGCAGGGCACAACGCCCAATCCAAGGCGCCGTCGTCCTCGTGCGTGCTCGCGGTGGCCATGACGGCGCAGGCGCTCGCGCCGCCGCCGCCGGAGCCGCGGCAGCTCAGCCTGGCGGACCTCAGGGCCGTCTCCGTGCTCGGCCGCGGTGCCAAGGGCGTCATATTCCACCTCATGCCCGAGGGCAAGGGCGGTGCCGGCGACGTCGCATGGCGCTCAAGTCGGTCTGGCGGGAGGCTGCGCGGCACAAGAAGAGCGGCGAGAGCGGCGGCGGGGACGGACACCGAAGGATTTGGTTCGAGCGCGACGTGCTCCTGGCCCTGCGCCACCCGCTGCTCCCCGCCTTCCGCGATGTCCTCGCCACCGACACCGTCGTCGGCTTCGCCATCGACCGCTGCGGCGGCGGCGACCTCAACTCCCTCCGACGCCGCCAGACCGAGAAGATGTTCTCCGACTCCGTCATACGGTACGCGCTCAACCAACGCCCTTACGCTACGCACTGCTGTAGGACAAATGGGCAAGATTTGATCCGTGAACTCATCCGTGAACACCGTCTTATTCTTCGCGGAGCTGGCGCTGCTGCAGTATGGTCTAGTGCAGTCCGAGCCCTCCATGGTCGCCGCGACTGCTGTCTACGCGGCCAGGCTCCCCCTAAAGAAGACCCCTCTGTGGACCGACACTCTGAAGCACCACACTGGCTTGACTGAAGCACAGCTGATGTAAGCATGCACGCTACTGAATCCCTCGTAGCTTGAATCTGTGATGATTTCATTCAGGGGTAGTGACTTATTTTGTGTGATGATTGGTTTCAGGGACGCGGCCAAGATCCTGGTGGCCTCGCACTCCACCGCGCCTGACAGCAAGCTGAAGGTCGTCTACAAGAAGTACTCGAGCGATAAGCTGGGAGGAGTCGCCCTTCCAGATTAGATCATGCTTGGCTACTCGACAATGTATTTTGGTCTGTAGATGCATCTTATTCTTGTTGAGAATCGTTTGGATGTAGATCTATTTTTACCTGTTAATCTGATTTAGTTTAGGACTAAATGCTTTGTTGTTTTTGTAGTATTAGTCAGATTTAGTAATTGTTTTTTTGTTTTTAATATTTTCATGTTGATATGTAAGCCCATCTAAACGGGTTGTCATACATCCTTATAATTGTCTATCACAGATAATCATTAGTACGCATCCAACTATTGATATCTGCAAGTATCTATATTTCATACATCCAAAAATTGACTACTTAAGCTGGACTTCTGGAGTAACTGTTGTTCACAAGCCCCTCATCGGTCGGCTGATCAGCCTCCAGCACTAGCCGCACCGATCAGCCTCCCACACCGGTGGAGGAACCTCCTACTGGTTCTAGATTATTTACACTTGTAAATAAATATTGTAGTTCAGTTTGTCACAGCTATGATTGAAGTTCAATAGAAACAGTTCTGCTTGCCTACGACTATAGTTATAGTCACTTGTTGGGCTGATTTCAAGAAGACTGCTTAGTGTTGACCGTGCCATGCTATTGTTATTGAACTGCTGCTTGTGTCTTAAATAAATATATGCGAAGGTAGACACGATCTTTGCTGCTTGTGTCTTAAATAAATAAATAAAATTCTGTAATTATGATCTGAAATGTCACACAGGTGAACATCGGTGCTGTCGCCGCCGCTGTGCCAGTTGGAGGTGTTGCTGCTGCATCTGGTGGAGCTGCAGCTGCCGCCCCAAAGGGCAAACGTTCATCAGACACAACCCCATAATAGGGCCTCAAGGTTCTGATCCCCATCGCCCCTCTTTGTAAATTACTGAAATGAAAATAGCCAGGCCTAATGTGCCTCTTGTATCTATTGCTCGATTTGTTATGATTTGATTCACCAAGAGTGATTCTTCTACTATCTTGTAGTAAGATTAAATGGAACAACGAGGGATGTTTCTAAGTTGGTTATTGCTAGAATAATTCATCAACTTGAGATATGTTGGGATGTTCAGAAGATAAGAATGGAATTTAATTGGATGGTCCCTTTCATCGTGCTTAATTAGCTGTAAATGTGCCCCCATAACTGAAGAAGATAAGAATCCATATGTGGTATGCAAAATTAACTTTGTCATCTTGTAAGTGCTCTAGGCAGTGTTGAGAGGGTGAAAAATATGAGAACAAAAAAGAATTACTTGATTAATTTACAACATCCATCCTTTACTCCGTCCGTGTCATTGATGTTTACCCGTGGGAGTATTTTTAACTTGAAAATCTCTAGTGAACTGCCATTTGTAGTACATTTTCTTTCCTTGTTAATTTTTTGGGTTACTCCATCTTGCTCTATTAAGTAAAATTAGATATGTGGAGCAGCAACAGTAAGCTAGACCCTCCGTCAATAGATTGCACCACAGAGGTCACCCTCATATGGATAATGAATCATTAATTTACTGGACAAACAATCTTGTTTGCCGTAAGAATTCTAGCATGCCAAAATCTGCCGTCTATGTATGCTTCAGTTAATATGGACCTGAATGGCAAGGGCTAGCCAACCTACTTAGCTAGATTAACATAACAGGAACAGTACACAACCGGCTAGCTCGTGTTTGCATTGGCTGCCACATCGGCTGGCTAGATGCGACTGCTTAAGGGCTAGTCAACAAATTTTACAGCATTCTACGTTGTAGCCAAACACTTGCTCTGTATTTTATGTTAAAACCATGGTATTGTGTACCTGCCAACTACGAGTAAATTACTGCAGTTTTTAATACTTTGGTTTTTTTGATACTTTGTTGTTCGATTTACTTTTATTTTGTCCCTAAACATTTTGTTCTACAATGTGCAGATGCTGGCATTTCATTCAGGACAAAGAAGTTGGATGAAGCATAGTTTTACCTCATTGAGCTAGTTCTAGGAGTAACGAACTCCTTGTAGCAGAACTTGTACGTGTGCTAGTTCTGGGAGCTGATCCTATTTGTGTGTTATATGATGTAGCAGAACTTGTAGGGCTCCTGTGATAGACTTGGGCTGATACACTTGGGTTGTGTGTGTGTTATCTAATTGTAAACTTGATGCCGATCACATTTTTATGTATGTTATATGATGTAGCAGATTGCTTCCTGCTGTTATTTGAAATATTGTGTCTGTTTTTTGTATTTGCATATTGAAGTATGAAAGAATATGACCTTGATAGTAGGGTCCCACAAACTAGAATGTCACATTTGGGACCCACTTACCAGAATTTGAAAATTGGCATGCATTAAAAAAGAGAAACAAAGGCTACGACCCAAAGATAAAAATGCTATAATGTTGGGCTAGGCCCATGAAATCGACCAAAAATTGACATAAAAAAAATACATAGAAAGACTGAATTAATGGGCTCGGCCCATCTAAAGCACCGAAATGGACCGGGCTGATTCTAAGTAATGACCTTTTCAATTGGTCATAATTTTGCCACGTCAGATTGCCACGTCGGATCCGACGTGGCCTGGGCAGACAGCTAGTGACCAAAACAAAACAGTAGGCATATTTTTGTCGTAAACGTCTATGACCTTCTCTGTGAGAAGGTCGTTAATTTCATTTTATGACTGCCAGCTTTTGACCTTCTGTTTTTGGTCAAAAAAGGTCGCAAATGAAAAACAATGACCTTTTAGTGGACAATAGTGAGGGTCACAAGTTGACATATTTCTTGTAGTGCTAGTTCCATCAATGTGAGTTTCGAGGACTTACATGTCTTCTTCAACTTCAACGTGCTCGATGCCACTCTTGTTAGATGCCTGATTTTGTAAGTACTTTACAAACTATGATCAACTTCTCCATACAAGGCTATAAATGATAAAGAGCTAACTGCATTTTATTCCTCTTAGGGGATTGAACGTGAAGAGAAGAAAAAGGGAGGGTGTATATTTCATAGATCCTAAATTAGCAAATGGCACAACAATACATGCTAAGGACCTACAGGACTGGGCCGTTAACATGGCCGTCCGTCTCTTCGAAAACATGTCCCATGCGGAATCGATTCTCTAGCCATATCATGAATGGTAAGTGAAGTAAACAACCGCGCATACACTTATTGTGTTTCAGATTTCGACATAATTTGTAAGTTCATGGCTTTCTTAATATGTAGCGATCACTGGATATTGGTATTCATTGTTCCAAACAAGAACACCATTTACTACATCGTTTCTCTCAGAGGGTCAACAAACGCTCAAGATCTGACGCATCTTCAACAATTCATGGATAGGTATTGAATTCTATGATGTTGAAATTAATTTGCATTCATATCTGGTTCAATAATTGATGTTGTCAAAATTCATCATCATTTGTTGTGTGCTCGCATTGTGGAAAACTACACCAGGGAACCTGTTCAAGAGGGAACTACCTCTGCAGCACGAGACCGTTTCTCCAGTAACACACCGAAATCCGTTATTTTTGGAAAATTTATCCAACCGTCTGCAAATACCTTTCCTTACGCTAGTCAAATGTTCAAGCTTCTAAATAAACCTCTTTCTATTTTGTCCAAAGAAAAAAATAATACATCTAACACCAGTTAGGTTGTTCCTAACAGGACAAATACATGACTAATTTTGTACAAAAAATTTCAGTGTCCTCAGCAAGAAGCAGGGACCAATCTTTGTGGATACTATGTTTGCAAACACATGATCTCCATCTGCAAATCTGCTGATAGTTGTGATGATCCTCGCATTAGTACCAGTAAGTCTATCTTAATTAATATCTTCTACTCTACTCGTATGGCACATTCTGATCTTAAAAATACTGCAACTCATCTTAAAACCGACGACCCCTGAACCTCTCCCGTCTGGTGAATTGCTGATGGTTCAGAGATTTATCAGCGACTTTTTCCTGGATCACTACATCAATCCCACTAGTGATAATGAAGATTTAAGCACGCCTTCTTCTGAAACATTGAGTAAGAGTTAGTCGCTAAACATATAACACATGGATCCATTGTTTTCCATCTGATGAGGTCTTCGTATTTTGTACACTATGATTAATTATGTAATGCATATATGTGTGGACAAATCATTGGAATTTAGCTACCACATGTTCAATTGCAATTGTTGCGAAATCTGATGAATGTTCTTCCTGTGGACACTATTTGTTCTTTGCTTTTTGCGTGCCAATTCAAAATGTGATATTTTTTTATTTGTTCAATTGAATATTGTAGCAAATTTGCTTTTTGCATGCCGATTCAAACTGGGATATTTTTGTTTTAACCTGGCAATTGCTCCGCACACGGTTCAACTAAATGAGTGTGTGGATCCACATCGGAAAGCATACGTTAATCGTAGCGGCACCGTTGGTGATACACACGGTTCAACTAAACGATTTGCAACTACCTGTGCGTAGGGTCTCTGGAACCGTTTGTGATATCACGTTATCACACACGAGAATTGGGAGTAAACTGTGCCCAATGCAAAATACAATCCCAGTCATAATTTTTTCAGGAATCGTGTGGGATCCCAAACGAAAAGCACACGCCACTCTTGCGGCAACCGTTGGTGATACCCAACAATTCACAAATGGTCCGCAACACTTGTATGTGTCCGAAGGGGCTCCTAAACCATTTGGGATAGAACATTTTCGCAGACAGTAATTGTTGGCAAACGTGTGTGATGGAGTCTAGAATGGCAGACATGTTACACGGAAAACTCGTGTGCGATGGGGCACAAATCATACACAGTTCATATTTTGGCATATGTGCCTTACATATTGTTTCCC